TTTTCGTATTTTGACCACTTAGACCCGGACGAGTTCATCAAGTGGTTCCAGACTGTGGAACTTTTTTTCGAGTACCAGGATGCCCCGCTGAACAAAATGGTGAAATTAGCTGTCATTAAGTTAAAGAAGGGCGCATTGTTTTGGTGGCAAAATTTGAAGCAGCTACACCAGCGTGAGGAAAAATATAAGATCACTATTTGGTTCAAGATGAAATGAGAGATGCAAGGGCAGCAATTACCTGCACCTTAGGCAGGATATGTTCGTAAGACCTCACCAATTTTAGCAACATCATGGGAAGACTGTCACATTTTACAGGCAAAGCTCAACCCTAGGATCAAGCAGCAAGAGTGCACTCAGCATAATATCCAAATTGACCCTGCCTGAGGAGACACTAGTTCAGAGTAGATATTAGGTCTTAACCAACCGGTATTCCCAAATTCATCTCAGAGTAATCCAGTAGTTGAAAACAAATGCCCGTTGTTCTAGGTTATTAGTCTCACTAGAAAGTATTTCAACTTTTAAATATCATGGATTTAGGCATATTGAATCAAATTGAACATCTAGAAGAATAATCTCTTTCACTGATTAGAGACCGGTTGAAGTAATGGACAATGGCAGAGTAGACACTGACGAGAGTGATGACACTGAAGTTCTAGCTGCCAGTTAATAACGAAGAGACGACATCGATTCTAGTTGAACCCAAGAGGGAGATTCTAGTTGAGTCGACAGTAGTTGTTCTAGAAGACATCGAGTCCGAGATAATGGACCTTCATGCAAAGTGTGAGGTCGTGGTGCCTTGAGCTACCTTCTTGTAGGCAATGAGAGGAGTATTTGGAGGACTGACATTGGTTGTCCAAAATAACAATGAGTTTGAGGAGCAATTACCAGATACAAGAAAACCTCATGTAAGAGAATTTTAAAAGATCCAAATATATGTCCTACTTCCTGAGTTGACCCTACAGAGGGAGGTCAAACGTATCAGAGATGGGAAGCTTTTATGCTGCATCTGAGAGTCATTGGTGTACTAGATTTAGTTCAGCAGTTTACCTACTAATAGATGGTCAGATAGGACAGCTAAAATGCAGTATTCGAAATTTTCTTGGGAGCTTGGTGGGAGAGACAATCCTATAGTGGGATCCATATTCTACTAGAGATGAAGAGGTCCTGAATGTGAGAGTGGCTCAGCCTGTCATAGATTTCGTCCTCAAGTTGATTTCTCCTTACATAGTTGTTTATTAGATGCATTCAATGGAGCACAAGAAGTGGGAGTAGTTTACAAATGTAGCAGCTCAAGACTTGATCCGTGAGAATACCAGTTTATGTATAGTGCCAGCCAAATTGTGCCAAAAGAGGATGCATACCTGTTATATTTGGATGTGCTTTAGAATGATACTTCTTACAAGAATGACTTACCAGAAGATTACACTAGTTCTACTACCTTCAACTAGTTTGCATAACTACTACGAGCAGACAGAAGCTTCAACAGATGAGGAAGAAGCTCCTTCAATCTCAAGAGACTGATGTGGGAGCTTAACAATCCACTATTGTTGCTACATTATGTGGGCGTAAAGAGCTGCGGGAGCCGATCCTGCGATTTTATCATCTAGACTAAACTAGTCCAGACAGGGGCGGGTCGACTGACGCTCCGACTATAATTCAATGCCTCCTTTTTCTAAGGGGATTCAGTCCTCTGTATCTCGGGCGTATCTCGGGCTTACCTATGTTGAGGATTGAGCAAGAATTTTTTTTTTATTTTTGTTGTATTATATTAGTTATCCACTTTAAGCCTTTTTTTTTTTTAAGTTTTAAATTTTTAATGTGTTCTGTACTAGGACAACCGCGACATCTCTTCATTCTCTCAAGGGTTGTATCCTAGTATTTCAAATGGGGCTTCGACTGTACCTTTGTCTCCAGGTGGTGTTTATCATCCCTATACCCCTCCTCATCCTCTCCACGTTGCACCCGAGCGCCCTCTATTGCTGCTGCCACCCCACAACAACCTTACCTTGTTGTTTTCCTTGCAATTTTCCCATTTTAGCCACTTGTCCCAGTTGCCACCACCCCGGACGGTCGGCCTCTTTTTGTCTTACAACCCATCGTATTCCCGGTCTCTTCCACCAACATTCCTCGTTATAGGCAGCAACAGCCTGAAAACAACGTTTTCCTTTTGTTTTTTGTTGTTCCAGCCGCCCAGTCATCTATTCTTCTCCTTCAAGCTTGCTGCCCTTGCCGCAATTCCTTCCTTTTGCTGCCACTGTTCTCATCCTTTGTCGTCGCCGTGCCTTCTAGCCTTTACTCACTCTTTGCTATCTTTTCAGAGGGCCAATCTCTCGCCGATCGCCACCGCCACCACCACCTCAAGATTCACCCTAGTTTGAGTAATTGTATCATGTTTTTTGCTATTTCAGATTTTCGAGTGTCGTGTGCTGTATTTTTCTTTTCAAGTGTGTTGGTTGTAACTATGTATTTGCCTTTATTCATAATATTTGTTTTTTCTATTGCGGTTTGGGTTAATTCCGGTGTCAGTCATCCTTCTTTTTGTGCTAAAGGATAAACTTAGGAGTCAAAATAAGATAGTTGATGCTTGGAGCTGTTGTCATTTGTTTATCACTATTATGCAGTTGGTGGTCGTTGGCTTTGTGGAACTGAATGATCTATATGCCACTGATAAGGACTTTCAAGAGATTTGGATTTTTTATGAAGAGAGACTACACGATTAGTACAACAATTTTGATGATTATTTGCTCTTTTACAATAAAATTTGCATTCTTAGTAGTTCACTCAAAAAAGTTTTCTTACAGAAGTATCAAAGCGGTGGGATGACGAGACGTTTTGGTTGTGATAGTGCTCTTTCTTTATTGCATATGAAAAAACATGTTAGATTGTGTTGGGTATGTCACTTAGCTCAAATCTGAAGCCAAAATATCAGTCTCTATGTTCTCCTTGTTTCAAAGCTATAGTGGATGAATGTGGGAATGAATTTTCTTGTGGGTTTACCCCAAATACAATAAAACTGGATTTTTGTTTTGATGATGGTAGATCGCCTTTACAAGATAACATATTGTGCTCTGCCACAAGGTAATGGGTGATTCATATATTGCTGATCTCTATTTCAGAATGATAGCTCTTTTTTATGGTCCTAGACTATCACTTTAGATAAGGATGTAAAATTTTTGAGTAATTTCTAAAAACCCTATAAGATAAGCTAGGTACGAAGTTTCAATTCTGTTCAACAACTCTTCCTCAAAATTACAAACAAATGGAGATGGTGATCTCAATTTAGAAACCTTCTCCAATGGTTTATGAGAGAATATCTAGAGTGAGATTTGATTTGTTCTTAGATTGAGTTTGCTTACGACTGGTCTACTAGCCACTCTATAGTTCATAGTTTTTTATAGGAAGTATGGACATAATCCCCTCACACCTTTGAAGTTGGTGCATATTACTTCTGGTTATTGAGCCTAGTATTGATGCGAAAATTAGGGTAAAAAAGATTTAAGTTTTATTCGAGCATGTGAAGTAAGAAATCGCCAAGCAAATTGCTGAATAACAGAAGCAGGTTAATTTGTCTTGACAAGGTTTTCAATGAAGGTGATTTGACGTGGATTAGATTGAAGGAGAGATTTTCTAGAGATTCTTTTGGAAAACTCATCTATAGTTGATGGTCATTCAGAGTAGCAAATGAATCCATGATAATACTTACAAAATTTACCTTTCTTGTGATTGCAACATTTATGTCACATCTGATGTCATTGATTTGTTTTCGTGCTACAAGGGTCCAAATGATTCCGGTTATGAAGCTCAAACCCCTCCTACCCAAGAAGGATGCATTTGCGTGTCCCTTGTGGAACCCAGGCAGGACAAAAAACCTGATTATTTCGCTTAAAAACTTGGTTGATTCAGGTTTTTCCATTCCTAAGGGGGGCCAGTCAGTTCGTAGGGCTCTAATTGCCAAATTTAGGATTACATTTAGGATTTGCTTTCTTAGTATATATTTTTTTGCTTGGGACCTGTTATGAGATTTTTCGGTTTTGGATTTATATTAACTCGGAGATTTTTTTTTTTCTGTTTTCTCTCTTTCGGAATATTCTAGCTGTCACTTTCAAGTGTGTTACTATATTTTGATCGAGAATGGTTGTGGATCTTTCTCGGCATATTGTACTTTATTCCTCCTAGCTGCAGGCCCCTTTTTTTTGTTGTAGTCCTCCTAAACCCTCTAAATCGCTTATTTAAGATTTCTCAGTGATTCTGGGACATCATCTAGAATCCCTTGACTGGTGCCAGTCTCGACCATGATGTTGCAAGTTCAACCAAAAATGACTTCGTTTATTTAAAAATATTTTAATCATTTGATAAATGAGCAACCTTTCATTCATATGAAAATTTATGCAAGATGACTTAGATGTGGTGATGCGCAAACCACAAATATTTGTTTGAACTGGTGGACAAACTATTTTAATCGGCTTTGTTCCTAGTTAATCTACAAATGTGAGGGATTTTTGTACTGAATCAACCGTAATCAATCCAAAACATTCTGAATACGATGGTTTTGAGTGATTCTGAAACGCATGATTTGAAGCATGCCCTTGGTCCTTTTGGTCCCATGATTTGAAACGTACTCTGTTGAGTTTTAAAATAAATTGCATGCTAGCAGAAATCAATAGCAAGAGTTAAGTTCTTCAGTCATATCTTATCTGAAATTTATAGAATTCTATAGAAAGAGTGCAATTTCACAATTTTAAGTCTGTAAGAATAATAGTTTATTTTCTTTTGGCCAGTAATTTGCTTTTGAATGCTAACGTAACAGGTCTTGTATTGTTTACCCTGATTGCATAAATCTGATAATGTTACAGATGTTGGTTAGGTGCTGTTATCATTGTCAATTAACAAAATCTAAGGGCACTGAGTTATATTTAGTTCTTGAGAGGTTATGTTTTCAGTAAGAAGCTTTATTATTCTTCACTTGAAAATCTGATTGATTTTAATAATTTGATTGACAGGTTCGTATTTTCTCCTTGATGGATGAACCTATTCTGGATGCTATCTTCTGTAAATTGGGGCAGACATTATATATTAGAGGGAGCGATATCCTTTATCGAGGAGGTCCCATTGAGAAAATGGTCTTTATTGTCAGGGGTAAATTGGAGAGCATTGGTGCAGATGGAAATGTGGCTCCCCTTTCAGAAGGGGATGTTTGTGGGGAGGAGCTCCTTACATGGTGCCTGGAGCACTCTTCTGCAAATAAAGGTACAATCATGTCTTTTATCATTGAAAAACATTGGTGAACTGCTTCATAAATTTTGACCATCTCTAGACAGCTCTAAGAAATTAAGGCACTGATTAGATATATCTAATTTATATGTATATAGCTGATACTCTCGCTGGAATTGGATGAGAACTTGTCCTTTAGTAGCTTTTCATGCATTATCTCGGTAAAAATTATTTTCACATAGCAAAATTGGATTGTATTCAATAATTTGCTTATTTGTGGTTTTTATCTTCAAATGAAATTATTGACTGGAACTATATAGGTGTCATTTAGTTGGTAGATTGTTTCTGATTCAGTACTTTAAAGGTTTCTTACTGTAAAGATTTGGTCTTGTGGATTGGTTTAACCGGAAGGCTTATATTAGAAAGCATTTAAGAGAAGCATCATTAAAAGAAGAACTCCTGCAATATCTGGTGTCCAATTATAGCAATTGGACAATTTTTTTTATTTTTCTTTTGGTTATTTTTGTGTATGACTAATACTTGCTAAGAAAGAATGTTTTGCTAATTTTGATTTCATCTTGCAGCTGGGGGAAGGGTTCGTTTCGCTGGGCAACGGTTGTTTTCCAACCGAACTGTTAGGTGTTTGACTAATGTTGAAGCGTTTGCCCTCCGAGCTGCTGATTTGGAGGAAGTGACTATAATATTTGCAAGGTTTTTGCGAAACCCTCGTGTTCAAGGGGCTATCAGGTAAATGCAGCATTTTTTTCTTGATATTTATAGTAACTTGTACTTTAGGATTGCGGAATACCCTTTTCTAGTAAGAATTTGAACCAGTCTTCCTCTTGATCAATAAGAGAAATTTTGCAGAGATTAAGAATGCTGTCCACCCAGATGCTTCAAAAGCATAAAAAAAGAGAATTGATAAAGTTCTGGAATAATAGGTAGAGTACAAAAGTTGTAGCTGTAAACTTTTTTTGAACAGATGATAGTTCTTTGCAACAAAACTAGCAATCTTATTTTGCTCCATGTAAGTGTTTTCTCCTCTACCCTTCAGTAGCTCCCACCTAAAGAAGGAGAGCAAACAAAATGTGCTTCTCTCCATAGATCTTGTACTCAATGAGATTTGTTGTTAGAAATTGAAAATATTTTTTCTATCCAATTGCATCATGAGGAAGTTGGCGCCAGAAAACCCAAATTGGCAACCGGTTTGCTTTGATGTTTGATTTTCATGAAAAGGAAGCAGATTGTTAACTACTTAGAAACATCTAATGTTGGACGTGCAAAATGAAACCAAACTTCTATTTGTAGAAACATTGGAAAAGAGGAGATGAAAGATGATCTTCTTTCCACACTATTTTGATGCAAGAATTTGATCAGAATGGAATGAAAGATAATTGACTTTTACCTCATCATAGTGCAATAGGATGTAAGCTTTAAGGTTATCTCTGATTATGTTTGATTGAGGTAGATGGCAGGAGGTTGAGGTCGAAGCCATCTTGATCACACCAGTAGAGAAGTAGAGGTATGGAGCTAGGCAACAATAGGAAGATGAATAAATAATGATGATCCAAGAGTTGTTGGTTGTGAGTAAGAGAGTATCTCATGAAATACATTCTCAGCCAAAGTATTTAGACGTTTGATAAGGGGATGTTGGAATTTTTTTTGAGTGTATGTGTGCCTAAGGAATATGCAATGAATTGACTTGGAAAGATAGTTTATGATGTGCATGAAAAACATGAACTAAAATAAAGGCAACCAAATACCTGATTGAGGAAAAATAGGTAGGCTAGGAGAAAGAGTGATGATAAGCAATTGATTTTGGAGAAGTGTAAGGGGACAATTGATAAGATAATAGAAATTTGGGACTACATCTTTACATAATTGGCGTTCGTGTGAAATATGAGTGCTTGGTGACAGCGATGTGATGCCAACTATGTTTTGAGACATTTTGACTGAGAGATATATGAATATGAGCTTTGGTGAAAATGCCTAGTTTAGAACAAATTTTAAATTGGCTTTGGATGTATTTGAAAACATCATCAATGCACAAAACTTCAAGCAAAAAACTAAAATTTTATTTCAGAATAAAATTTACTGAATACAACACAGACTTCTTTCTAACATTTTAATAAATATACTATGGTTATCCTAGAATGATCATTAATAAGTGTACCAAAATAGCATGACAATAACTGAGTTTGAACAGGTCATGGCTTAAAAATATTATAATGAATTATACCGCATAAAAGAAGACAACGACTAGTAGTGGATGATGAGAATGATACGTTGATATTTACTCAATTCACAAGCAAAGAATTCAAATTTGGAAGAAAGGATAAATTTTTGTAGCTGAGTTGGAGGATAATGATCCAAACGATAATTTTATTGATAATGAGTAATAGTGGAGCCAAGGAGAAGCGTCAGTCATTAAGTTGCAGATACTTCCAAATTCAATACCTCCACAAATCAACGCTTTCAAGTTGAGAACCTAGAAAACAATGCAAATCCCATAATTAGGTTATGGTGAGATTATGGGTTATAGTAAGACATGCATATGTCATACATTTATTGAAATTTGGGAACAATAACTTATCGGAGCGAAAATGATTTCAGATTTGAGCACATATGAGGAGCGGCATTCTCAAATACCACTCTATATCTATATCTATATATATATATATAAAAAAAAAAAAAAAAAAAAAAAAAAAGTGGATTTTTAAATAGGCAAAGATATGGATGTTGTTATTTTAAAAAATTTTAGTTGGATGTTAGTTTTTTAAATAAGAAGGATTTGAATGTTTCACAAGAAAGCACTCCCAGTTACAATAAGCTAGTATAATGTTGATGAAGATGATCAGCTTGAAAGGCTAGTATTCTAAGTTGATTGAACTGAAACCATTGATGCATCAATTATTTCAAAGCCCAAAATTCAGTTTTTATTCTTCACTTCCATTTTGCCATTTATTTTCATACCTATCTCGCCTTGTGATTATGGAGCCCCAATAAAACAAACATCCACACTAATGGATCATTTTTTGTGCTACTTCAAACTTTTATGCTTACAAAATAGTAACTTTTTATCGGATATCTACATAAACATAATGGATTTTGAGCTCGTGACATTATTGATTACCACGTATTTATTTCTTCTGGACTAACAGATATGAATCACCATATTGGAGATATGTTGCTGCCACTCGTATTCAGGTGGCGTGGAGGTATCGGCAATGGCGTTTGAAGAGGGCTGGTAAATCCAGCAAGAGTCCTCATTCCTCTTATCGCATCTCAAGATAAATGTAACACCCACCTTGTAATTATAGCCACATAGCTTTTTTAATATTTTTAATATTTTAAGTTTTGTTTATTTCAATGAAATAGATGTATTTGGTATAGAGGAGGATACTGGAAAATTTTACCATCTTATGTATCAGTTCCTTGGAAAATGCATTGATAAAATAGCAAAAGCTTGTTTAAAAAGGAAGAAATATAAAAGATGCTTTTTCAGCATCTAATTGCCCCCCTTAATTGTTGTCTCAAACAAGGTTATTGATAGAGTTATAGAAGTAGGCTGTTATTGAAATTTTTTTTTTACAGCTGTAGGAAATATTAAGCAAATAGATTGTCTTAACAATGTTTATTCGGTTTAATATTTCATATATAATTTTATAATTTTATTTCAATTGTAGTGTTTAAGTATGTTTTTAATGTTACCTGTACGAAGTTAGTTTATATTTGTAATCTTTGTCTATGAAACATGAGAAAAGTGGGAACAGTAAGAGAATATATAATATGTAGCTTTGAGATTTCACTTGCTTGCAAGAAAGTACAGGCTGAATAAAATTGAATTGTATGTACAAGCTTAAATACAATGTTATAAAAGGGTTTATATTCATAAAATAAGTAAAATTATATGACAGTTAATGTGCGCTTGTAAAGATAATTACTAGTGTGTAGCTAAATATATTGATTATATATATATGAGGGGTGAATTTAATTAAAGTCGAATGATTTCACTTATGCATTTTGAATTCTGTACGGTTATGATTCTTGGGTGAGTAAACCTTGGCGACAATGCTTAGCCTGCTTTGGCTTGGGACTTTTAATTGAACATAGATTTAACGTTGTATTTGCTCAGCAAGGCTGTTTGGATGGGTTAGGAGACATTTTGGTGTACTTTCTCTTTGAAGCGATTAAAGAAAATAATAAAATCCTATTTTGCCAAGATGGCAATCTAAATTTAATAGTTATTTATGCAAAATCAGCATTAAGAGAAGTTTATAAATGCTTAATAATATTATTTTAAGATTATATTTGAACTTTTGTAATTTAAAGATATAGAGAAAATCAAGTTTTGAAGCAGGGAAATTGTTACAACGCTGTGAGGAGTTTTTAGGAGTGGGGGTAAGACAAATTATGTACGAGTTTTCCTTTTCACCTGCTTGGAGAAAATCAAGAAGTTGAAATTGAGTTGGTCATTGCTAATGAATTTCTTCGAACTATCTCTTGTAAGATGTTAGTTGTGATTCTTTTTAAAGTTTATTTTGATGTAAACATGCAGAAATTTTTTTATTGAAGTATTTGCACCTCGCCGGATGCTGATTTTGAGGTTGAGCGAGTTTGACGTTCCAAAGCTACCATAGAAAGTAAAGAGTGCGCTGATGCCTCCATTAGGTCGATCAAGGAGGAGTTGGTGATGATTATGCTAAAATTAGGGGCTCAGTTAGGGTTTGACGTCACCAATTGTGGAAACTTCAGTTTTATCAAATAATAATAACAATACTATAATTTTGAATTTTTTGAAGAAATAATACTTTCTTCAACCTTTCTGAACCCAAAATAATTAGTTTGAGTGACTTCATAGAGGAATTTGTTGTTTTTTCTAGTTAGTTGATGTTTCAAATTAAGTCCTTTGGGACGTCAAGCAAGAATTGAGCTATTTGATGGATGAAGTTACGTTTGAAACGTATATTGCTTCTGAAATAAAGCCAATTTGTTGGCGTCTAGTTCTTGCTTCATCGTTTGAATCTTAATGAATCCATCTCCGGAGATGTTTTTGTTCCTGTCGTCATGTATTTTTGGGAAGTGTTATGTCATCACTTATTTTCGAGTTCAGAAACTCTACTGAAATCAAATCATCCTCTTTTTAGAGTAACATTTTGTCAAGTATTTTATTTTTAGGAAATAATCATAGTTATCAATTTGATATCTGGAAAATTGAATTTCAAAAGTCACTTGAGTTGCACGCTATAAAATCTAGTATGGCTTTTGATATGATACCTTCGAAGGCTTGACTTGTTTATCATGGTGGAGGCTCCTTCGAGTTGTTTAGAATTAGCCGAAGGATGATGAGCAATGCTTCTTCCCAGAGCAATTTTCACTTGGCATGTGATTTCTTCTCTTCCAAAAGGTAACTAGGATCTTGGAGTATTCTTGCTTAACACTGGCAGAGATAATGCTAGTTTTTTTTTTTTTTTTTTGGCTGGTAAGATTCCCTTTAGTATCTAAAAGAGCAATGTTGAGTTTAGAATTGCTTAACACTGGCAGAGATAATGCTAGTTTTTTTGTTTTTTTGGCTGGTAAGGTTGCCTTTAGTATCTAAAAGAGCAATGTTGAGTTTAATTCTATTTCATTTTGGCTAGTAAGATTATTTTTCTTATTTTATAGATATAATAAAGAGCAATGTAAAGTTTAATACTATTCAGATTTATGTTTTTTTATTGTCGAAGCCTTCAAAAAGAGCATCAATTTTTTTTTCATAGACATGTATAACCATGCGAGGCTTGGAGAAGTAGATTTAAGATTAAATGAATAAATAAGATGGAAGAAAGCTGGGCGTGATTCTGATTACTAGTGGCTCCACAAACTTTTGAATATACGGATAACTTCTTTAGATATTTACTTGCTATTGTAGCTCACTTTGTTTTAAATTATCCCTTTTACAATTAATATTTTAAGGGTTAATGATGATTTATTTTTATGAATAAAATAATAATCATGATTTAATTATTAAACTTGAGAGTTCGATTGATAAACTTAAATATTATAATATAATAATTTTTTTTTAAAAAAAAAGCATGATAATTATAAATTAGAAACGTGTCAATACGAATTTTTAGGATATCTTACAAACAAGAGGATAAAGAAATAAAGCTATGGAGTGCTCACTGGCGAAAGACCAAAGATCAATTTGACTAGGTGCGGGCTACCTAAATCGAGGCTAGAAGCCAACTAGATGCAGGCCATCCAATCCAACGACCAAGGCTAACCAAGACTAGTAGATGCATTTACTAGCGTCTTACCATAACCTGACTCAAACGAAGAATTCATCAACGCCAACCATCTCTCTGGATCCCTTAAGATTTCTCATTGAAGGCTAAGTACTGGTCATAACATAATCAATAAAGAATCTCAAAGAATACTCTTATCAAGGAGTGAGTTATTTGTACGATTATGGAATTTACCCTTTGCCAAATAACCTGGGTTCATCCCACCGACAAGAGCTTCTCACACATGGATTTATAGTTGATAGCCACACTGGAGTAGCCAACTAACATAGGTAAGCTGATCGAGCTGAGTCTTACTGACTTTAAGACCATCAAAGGCCGACCCTTGTTCATCAGACATTGCCAAAAAAGACCCACTGATTTCAGCTGACCGAGTCATAGGGTAGTCTAACCGTAGGCCTATACATATAAAATACCTAATATATTCTGTAACGCCCCCATTAAAGCATGAGCAAACATGTAATTTTATATATAATTGGGGTATTATTTTATGAAAATGACTAATCAATAATTCAAATTATTGTTCATTATTATGCATTTTACTCGTCTCTCTTTCTCTGGTTTTCTCTCTTTCTCCAGTCTTACATCTAATCCGTGGGTGTGATTCACGAGCAAATTAGAGCTCAAAATTCTAAAAGGTGTTGTAAGTGTAAATTATGTCACAGACAAGAATATGAGTAACACATGGAGAAAAAAATATAACAGAGATACAAGTAATATAGAGTACATAAAAGAGTTTGTGCAATTGAAAATCCAAGAATTGAAAGATCATATGATGGATGTCGTTTGAGAGGCATTAGTTCAGAGAAGGGAGAAGAACCTTAAAGAAGGGTCAGTGTTTTCGGTCACCTTTTCGGGAAAATATATTTTTAATATATATATATATATATATATGTATATAATTTTTATATATATATGATTTTTGAAAAATAATGTTTTAGTTTTGAAAATATGAGATCGAACTGACCTATATATGTCATTGTTTATATAAACGAGCACAACATTACAAGCAACATATCTATCCCGAGGAATAGACACGTTACTTACTAATGAGGCTTGATTAAATAAATTAAATAATTTATGACATCTGTTTTGATCTATGAAACCATTATGTTGATTGACAAATTTTCCTATCTAATATGAAAGATTAGGTAGGGTTTATATTAACCTGGGTTCTAAAGTTTCCTATAAGGGCAAACCTCTATAGTTAATTACATTTTAAATGACCAGAGTCACTAAAAAAACTCTCAATTTAGATTGGAAAATATGTCTTAAAGAATTTCAAAGTTTAGGATTTTTAAGATCGGACAAAGGAGTATCAAATGAGAACAAATATTTTTGGAATCCAACGAGAGAAAACTAAGGGATGCCACGGATCCTAAGGAAAACCTCAGTGACTTCCCAAGCTATTTTATGTTTTGCTTCAATTTCGAGAAATTATAATTAAATTTTTCATCTTGCCAATTATTATTATTTAGAGCTTACACTTGCATGACATAATCATATAAATAGCCTTGAAGATGGGAGGGTTTATGTCATGACGAACGACAACCTCAGAGCCTAAAGCGAGTTAGGGTTTAAATTGCACAACATGGCTATTCAAAGGCCTAAATATAAGTTGAGGGTAGCAACCTCAAAGTCCTATGACTTTTTATTTAATTCTATGGAAATTTGTTGTAGATGCATTTGTTGTTGTAGAATGTGGTTCTCTATCTACTTTAGCTTGCTCCGAGCTCCTCGTGATAGTGATAGCTCTAGGTTCAAGGTTTAAGGGTTTACAGTTTAAGTGAAAAGTTTTGTTGTTGTTCAAGTATTATGGGAGGGTTAAAGTTGATTAGGGCGACACTGGTTAAGATTCCACGATTCCCTCATTCTGGTACCACTATTTCTCTTGAATTTATTTAGTCTAAACGAGTCGTTAAGCTCATTTAAACTAGGGAGATCTTGTTGACAACCGTAGTTTACCTCATTCGAGGGATTCCTGTAAATTCAAAAGAACGTATTATGTATTTTGCTGTTTTGAAACTGTAAATTTGATTTTGAAAATATGTTTTGAATTTTTCAATTTTTGTTTAGTTTTGCATGTAAAATAAATAAATACAGGTAGAAAATATTGTAAGGTAAATAAATAAAATTGCAGATTCATAAAATGTAATGTGTACCTGGGCCTCTTCTATCGCTGCATGGTTAGCATCATAAAGCATAATATATTTTGTAGAAATTTAAATAAAT